TTTTTGACAATGAATATAGTACAGTGGAAGCCACCATATTGTCATTATCAATGAAATGGTGGACTAAATGATTGCTGATACTGTATTAATCACTAAACAATCAGCAAAGTGAGAAAGAAAGAGAAGAAGAATACGAGACAAAAAAGAAAAAAAAAACAGATTTTATTACTGATTATTATTTTCAATGATTTGACATCATATTCAGCAGCAGATTGACCTATGATTTACTGTTGGTTTACTGCATTAAGTCTAATAATTATTCTGTACTGCTTAAAAACTGTCGAAACTGTGGAATGTTTTTGCACCGAAGAAAATACTTGTGAAGTATTAGGCAGATGTCAGGGAACTGCATGCTTGGTTGGTGTGCTTAAAAGTAATCAAGTATTACGTACCTGTGGTACCGAACCGGTTGGATGTTATCGCAACATTGGCAGGTAATCGTTACCGTATTAAACAGAACCAACTTTGTACGGTACATTTTCGTTTTCTTTCCTTTCTTCTTCTTCTTCTTCTTCTTCACCTCTTCTGTCTTCATCCTCAAAATTTTTTGTTCTTAGAGTTTTTCTTTTTTTCGTTTATAAACTTAAAAGCAAAACATTTTTAGCACTTCTTTAAAAGCTTGTCGACAAGGCATTATTTATGAGCGTAATAATTGCTGATTGTTGTTGTTTAGTTATTGAAATTAGAAACCAACAACGACAAAGGAAACCGTATTTATATAGCAAAATTTAAATTAAACTCAACTGAAACAAAAGAAAAAAAATTGCTTTGAATATATAAAAATCGGATGATTGAATGGCATAAATTTAAAAACTTTCAAAAATAACTTTAGTCGTCTATTTTTTTTTTTTCCATCCACTCTTTCGCTTGTCCCCGCTTACTTACTCACTTTGTTTGATTAGTTCAGAAATGCTTTCAAATAAACGGCAAACCTTTCAAATACCACTGTTTTTCTAAACTTCCTTTTTTTCCTCTACTTATTTGTGAAACAACAAAGGCAAAAAAAATCTG